ATGTATCCCCCACTACCCAGTAATTCCATTCTCAGGTATATATGCCAAAAGAGATGTACAAGAATGTCCGTAATATTACTGGTAACATCCTAAAATTTAAAATAATTCAATTCTAATTGATAGACTAGATAGTTGTATATTAATACAACAGAATACTATATAGCCATGAAACCACATGGAATGATCTCACGTAATACTGAGGGGAAAAATTCTGTATGATTCCTTGTATATCAAGTTCAAAAACGGGCAAAACTAACTGAAGGCAATAATCAAATTGGCTTCAGTTGGAGTTAGGGAGTAATTACATGACTGAGAAGGGGTCATGAAGGAGTCTTCTAGGATGCTGGTCTTGTTCTATTTCTTGATGTGACTGAGAGTTAAACAGTGTATTCTCTGTGGAAATTCATTAAGCTGTATGTTTTTTGATGTATTTTCTTTATACTTGAACATAAAACTTAAAGAATGCCAACAGTATATGACAATGTTTCTCTACATCTTCACAATCTAATCTTTGCCAATTACAATTAGAGTATTTACCTAGGCAAAATTAGCATCTCTTAAATGTTCTGGCTTACATCTTAATGAGGAACAAAGCTTAGTGGGGGGGGGGGAAATGCTCTTCAAGTTCTTCTGAGAATTCCATCAAAAACAAATTCTAAGGGGACTCAGCAGTTTATTGTGACCTGTTATCATGGCTACAAATGTTATTAATGGGAAAGCGTTAGATGCTGTAATAAGCCCCATCCCAAATGTACAAGCACCAGAATTTTAAATGCAAAAAGACAGGATTGGGGGGGGGGCGGGGGAGGACCAGGAACAAGCAATATAGGATGGAAGCCCGAATGCCAGGAGTTTCAGCACATTTGGAAGAATAGTCAGTGGTAGCTTTAAAAGAAAGTAGAAAAAAAAAAAGGAAAGGAAAGGAAAGGGAAAAGGAAAGGAAAAAAGAAAAGAAAGAAAAAAGAGAAAGAAAAGGAAAAAGAAAAGAGAAAAAGAAAAGAAAGAAAAAAGAAAAAAGAAAAGAAAGAGAAAAAGAAAAGAAAGAAAAAAGAAAAGAAAGGAAAAGAAAAAAGAGAAAAAAGAAAAAAGAAAAGAAAAGAAAAGAAAAGAAAAGAAAAGAAAAGAAAAGAAAAGAAAAGAAAAGAAAAGAAAAGAAAAAAAAAAAGAAAAGAAAAGAAAAAAGCAAGCCCGGGACACTTGGGTTAGCTCAGCGGTTGAGCTTCTGCCTTTGGCTCAGGACAAGATCCCAGTCTGGGGATCGAGTCCAGCATTGGGCTCCTAGTGAGAAGTATGCTTCTCCCTCTGCCTGTGTCTCTCTGCCTCTCTCTGTGTGTCTCTCATGAATAAATAAAATCTTTAAAGAGAGAGAGAGAGAGAGAGAAAGTAGCCCCTGGACAGGAATTTATACCGCCTGGGTTGTGTAAGTACATTTTTCAATTATGAAAGAAGTAAATGTCCAAAAAACAAGGCACTTTAAAAAAAAAACAAAAAACAATTTTCAGCCATCCTTACATATAGCAGGCCTGTACATACAACCTGCAGAGTGAACCAATCCTACAAGAGTGCCTACCTCAAAGCAGTAACAGACAGCACAGGGCCCATTTCTTAGTATGTATATTACAGCTTTTGAAAAGGAGTCTATCAATTGTAAAAAAGGTGATCTCAGAAATGTTAAAATAAATTTTTAAATGATCACCTTAGAGAAAATATTGCAATGAAACCTTAAGAGTTTTGATAAAGAGCAAAAAGGTAGAATGGCTTAGTGGTTAAGAACATGGGCTCTGGGCAGCCCCGGTGGCACAGCGGTTTAGTGCCACCTGCAGCCCGGGGTGTGATCCTGGAGACCCGGGATCAAGTCCCACATCGGGCTCCCTGCATGGGTCTCTGCCTCTCCTTCTCTCGCTGTCTCATGAATAAAAAAAAAAAAAAAAAAAAAATTAAAAATTAAAAAAAAAAATCTTAAAAAAAAGAACATGGGCTCTAGTCATACAAACCCAACTATGAATCCTGTTTCAATATAACTAGCTGTGTGGCCTTGGGCAACTTCTCCCTATCCAATTTCCAAAATGCAGGTGACAACATAACATACTATTTGAGTATATGTGCTACATTACGGACACTGCTTAATAATGAGCACAGTGAGGGAAGACTGGGTGGCTCAGCAGTTGGGCATCTGCCTCGGCTCAGGGTGTGATCCTGGGGTGATCCCAGAATCCAGGGTGAGGTCCCTTATCAGGTTCCCTGCGGGGAGCCTGCTTCTCCGTCTCTGCCTCTCATGAATAAATTAATGAATCTTTAAAAAAATGAGCACAGTGATGGGGCACCTAGTGGGCTCAGTCAGTTAAGTGTGACTATGGCTCAGGTCATGGTCTCAGGGTCCTGTAGGCAATCTACTTGTCCCTCTCCCTCTGCCCTTTCCCCCCACATTCATGCTCTCAAAAATGAGAATCTTTAAAAATAAAAATTTTAAAAATTAGCACAATGCCTGGTACACAGCCAATACTGAATTTAGCTAAATATTAGTTATTGTATCATAAAACAAGATAGGGCTTGATTTTGCTTAGTTGATTAGATCCAGAATCACTTCCTCTAAAAGCTCACAAATTCCTTTTAATGACCCATCTTAGAATTTCACCAGGGACCCCTATTAACTATTATCTTTTTTTTTTTTTAGGATTTTATCAAAAAAAAAAAAAGGATTTTATTTTATCTATTTATTCATGAGACACCCAGAGAGAGGTTGAGACACAGGCAGAGGGAGAAGGCGGCTCCATGCAGGGAGCCTGATATGGGACTCAATGAGGGACTGGGATCACACCGAGTTGAAGGCAGACGCTTAACCCCTAAGAAACCCACCATCCCTGTTAAAATTTTCAAAACCTTTCAGAAGCAATATTCATCTTTAAAATGCCATCTCATCATGCTCACTCTCCTACTGTCCCTAGGATCAAGAGCAAGCAGCTGATTTGGGAATTCACTAAACTCTAAAGCGGCATTTGTCTGAAACAGAAGCCAAGTTAGATGTTTACATTTATTCCATCAAATTCCCTTTACAAAGATCTAACTTAAAGTTCATGCTCATCTTCCTTAAAGAAGCAAAACGTAACTTTGGAGATTTGCTTTTTTGGCCACTTGTTCCAGAACCTGAGCATGGAAAGAGACACGTTTATTGGTGTTTCCAACATTTAAAAAAACTTTTGGGGGTTTTAAACTTTTTTCAAAGCAAAACACTAAGAATTATAACTGAAACATAAATTGCAAATTGTAATGGTAACTCGAGTTTCTATTGAAACCAACTGATGATCCTCAGAGCGCTAAACACAGCTGAAACTCTACCTTTTCAGACCACAGACAGAAGGAGGGACACTGTCCTTACAGAGCCATCATCTTTCCGCAGTCTTCCAACTTTTTATAAGGAATTGAAGACCTGTACCAATCATCACAATCCTTCCCAAGTGCTTTCAGTGGTTTGAGTGGCAAGTTTTCTCTCCATACCAAGATTGCCATAGTCTTGAGAATGCTTGTGGCATCCTGAGTTTGTTGAATATATAGAAGTCCATCCACAAAGCCAACTAGAGAACCCTTTCACTAAACGTGTTCACATAACAATGGAACTTGACCGAAATCACCTCCACAAGCCAGTCTATTTGGTAAAAACATTGCCTATGCATTCGACTCTTGAAGTCCACGCATTTGTGCAACTGTTTACCATGGGAGCAGACTGTACTACCCTGAGTCCCATTATCTTTAAGTCTGTGACAGAATTTTAAAAATCCCTTCAGAAAAAAAATAAATAAAAAATAAAAATCCCTTCAGGTTTGCACCTTGATGCAGTAGGCATTTTGGCCACTTTACTGCTGGAAGAGAACAAATCAACCTGAAAATCTCTTGGACATAGCTCCACATCTAAATATATAATAGAAGAGGAATACCCAAAAACCTTGCTTATTCTAATTATGGGCATACAACATATATTTTAATAGATAAAAGATAAAAACTACTAGAACACATCACTATTGTCAATTTCCTAAGACTTCACTACTGAGAATTAAGCCACGGTATTACTTTTGGTGTCAACATCTTGACAACAGCAGAGTCAAGCGTGGTGATGGAGCTGATATTCTCACACATTGCTGATTGGGAGTGGGTGGGTGGGCTATAAATGTGGAACAACCTCTATGGAGGGAAATGGGCAGTATTTATCAGTTGAGAAGTTATGTTCTCTGACACAGGAAATCTAGAAATGTATCACAGAAATACACATGCAAATATTTAAGTGGAGACCGTTATAAGGATATTTAATGCAGCACCATTTACAACAGGAAGGCTGAAAACATCTGAAATGTTCAAAGGAGTCAACTGGTTTAAAATAAAAATCAGGAGTATACCCATGTTACACAGTCACTCAAATTAGATCTAAATGCCTGATACAGAATGGTCTATAATACCTATATACACTGATGTATAGATTTTTTCTAGAAGAAAATAGTCAACAATGAGTGTGTCTAGTAAGGAGGGTGGCTACACAATTCTACCACGTGTACATGTACTACTGAAAATGAATGTAATTATTCTTTTCTGCTCTTGCCCCTGACCTTTGGAGGTGGTAATGGGTAATTTTACTTTAGTCTAAGGAGGACTGTTCTGACCCATTCAGCCTTATTTGGTTGTACAACCCAAAATTCCATGCTAGAAAATGACCCATAATTGTACCTTAAGTATGAATTTGTACTTTAATGATTAAAAAATAAGTACCATTTTGCTACCTGGTTGAGAAAAGATAGTAATGAATTGACTTGGTGTTCTTATTCAGTGTTCTTCAACAACCAGGCTATAGGTAAAAGTTTTTTCTAAAACTGTTTTCTAAAAATATGTATCATCTTTGGGAAACCAAGTGATTTGTAGAAGAAAGAGGGGGATCTTTCCACATTCAGGCAAACAATACTGTCAACGTGTTTGGACTACGGTTTATTTTAAAAAGATAAAGGATGGAGGCGCAATAATATTTGGCATTTTTAATTTAGGTTTGTTTTATTTAAGTTTAATGTTAATTCCATGCTGTGTTTCAGTAAGAACAATACAGATTCTGTATCTGTGGCTCCAGTCAGATATCCAGTAGTACAAATTAGCTTCAAGTTACACATACTGAACAAAAGAGGTTGAGCGAGCGAAGGAGGGAAGGGGGGGCCCAAGGGGAAAGGGAAGGAGAAGAAACAAAGAACTGAACACGCATGCAGGCTTTTCCATACCACCTTCAATGCTAACCTGCTTTAGAGGGAGAGTAAAAGTAGGCAAGAATGAGCAGCCACGGATTGTTGAACTGTTACCAGCACCATGCTTTTCAGCAACATTTCCGCAACACTTTTTACAGCAAAACCATTATAACAACTCTCCAAACAGTCTTTAACCACTTCAAGCTAACGTCCAATTAATTTTTAACATTGGTATAAAATTCGATTTAAACAATTAGAAAAAGGAAAACTGATACCACAATGCCTCTATAGTGTGATTAACCTCTCTCTTAGATGCTTGCATCACCTAGAAGTCTAATGGCTTTCAAATGTAATTTCCATTTCTAATGGTGATCTTGCCACATCTGGCAGGAGACAATACAGTAATGCTGAAAAAGCCTCTACACAGTCCTGTTAGTGTCTTAAAGAACCTAAAAGCTGGGACCAGTAAAAATCCACAGAAATTCACTCTTGCCTTTAAGAACTTTTGAAAACTGTTTAAAAAACAAAAACAAAAAACAAAAAAAACAAAAAAAAACAAAAAAACAAAAAAAACAAAACAACAGGGCAGGAACCTAAATTCTGAGACCAAATGTAAAAGTCAGATTTGGTGGTTCTCAGTGACAATGGGGGAATTTCCAATGGGAGTGGGATGGGAAGGAATGGGGTGGTCAGAGATGGTTTCTCTTGTTGGCTTTTATGTCTCACTGATTTTCATCTTCCACATCCTGCAGCGCTTCTTTATTCTGCTCTTCACCTGCAAAGAAGAATGAGTTAATTATTTCATACTAAATTAGACTGCTGTGGTAACAACAACAAAAAAACTATCATTCCAAGCAAAGACTCCTTATATTTGCTACAATTGGTATTAAACACAGACAGCCAAAGGACTTCTACCATCCTTGACACCTGAAATGCCTAAGCCAAGAGGTGCTGCTGGATCAAGGTCCTGAATGGTCAATAGTCAGGATGAAAAAAAAATGCACAGTGAAACTATTTTTATGCTAAATAAGCTCTTAAAAGTAGACAGCCAAGGTAACCATATTATTAAATGATTTTCAAGCTTTTATGTATTTCTTGGGTCAAAATACTCTTTCTCAATAACCTCACCTCTTCAAAAACCAAGGGTACTTTATAGTTCTTTGTAAAATCTACCCATAAGCTCCATGTGAAATACTTCAGTAAAGACAACTGAGCAGAAAAATGCTCCAAAGTTGTTCTATAGTTTTAGAGGAAGGGTTCTGCTTTTCAAAGTGATTTCACTTTTATATCATTTTAGATCTTGGACAGTCACACTAAACCATAAACCAAATTTCTTACTCCAGGGTGAAACAGCATGCTCAGAGTAAACCAGACCGCTGAGGTTATTAAAGAAGGGCATTTGGACCAGTTCTCTCATGCCATTTTTCTTTCCCTTACAACATGGTGATTGGCCTGAGGAGTTTCAACTGCACTGTGACATGCAACAGAAAGCCAGCCTATTATTCACTGGAGAATCATCTACCTATTAATAAGCATTAAAATAAGTCAGCCATAATAAAGCATGCAGCCTTTTGCTAAAAAATAATGGAACAGGTACAAGTTACATTCTTTTGTGCTTTAATAAACCGCTACAATTCCTATCTAATTACTAGTGTGAATCAAAATGAATACCAATTAACTAATCCAACAACAGTTCAGACAATCCATCCATTCATATTGCTTGTTAAATTACTTAACTAGGATGGACAAATGACACTAAGACCAACTGCCTACTAATGTAAAATATTTAACCTAAGGAGTGCTTTTTCAATAGTCTGAAAGATCTTGATATGATAAATGATAAACGCTGTTACAAACAAGGATTGGGTAAAGATAGTTTTAGACATTTCAAATTTTCTTCTCTGACAAAAATGTTTGACACTAATATGTGACTCTTAAAAAGTACTTAAGGCACATAAAGATTTTTGACTCCTATATAGAAAAAAACATGCAGAAAAAGACAAAAATCCATTTCCTGAGGAAAGAAATGATGCACCACCCAACCATTCCCAAAATAATGTACTCAAACTTAGGAAATGATAGGAACATTCACGCTCATTTTTAACAGCAATACACTGCCAAAATACGGTTAACAAACAACAATAGGGCACACGCTAATTCACTTATAAGCAACCATTAGATTTGCCACAAGTTCCAAGTAACTTTGGCATAGGGTATGGTCAGATGAGTCACACCCAACCAGAAGTAGACAAGGGTAGCAGATCATAAATGTCTTAAAAGGTTTCACATCCTAGAATGTAGAACAGGCAGTTTTGTAAGCAAAAGGATGATGATATATGCAGGCATGATTAGTGAAGAACCAAAACTAAAAAGCAGAACTCGCTGTGCCATGATAATGACTTACAAAGTAGAGTTTTTAGGAAAGGAAGAGTTGGATTTTCCTTTAGGAATCTATATTGCAAGGAGAAAGGGAGGGAGAACAATCATATGAAAGCAACATTACAAGAAAAATAAACCGAGAGAGCAGGACAAAAGAAAACATCAATGATTTAGCGGAGTCAGACTTTGGCCTTTTCACTTTGTATAAAAACCTCACACAACAAAAAGTATTCGTTCATTTTACCTTTAAAAGGATGAAATAATATCCTCTTAAAAGGTATACAGAAGGGGGGAAAAAAGGTTTCTTTGGATATGTATCTCTTAGCCCATTGTTTTCGGATTTGGGGGGGAAGAGGGAAACAGGCAGAGAATGTACATTTTCTTTCTATGCATTTATGTATGAAACAGTCTTCTGAACACAAGAGGACTGAAATCACTTGATGAGAAAAAGTGGTGATCTGTTTATAAAGATGTTCCAACACAGACAAAAGTGAACATATTCTGCAGTTAAAAAAAAGATAAAAACATCTCAGTAAAAGCTTGTGAATCACATACATTTCTTCCTTTAGAAACCCTTAATTCTAGTTTTTTGACACCGTTTTTCGTAATAAAATTAAAAAGGAAAAAAACTAAATAATGTTCAAGTAAATTAACATCCTGAGGAACTGCCTATTTCATGACTGCAATTTTGCAGATTCTAAGTCACAAAACCTATTTAATAAAACACGTAATAAATTACTAGTACCCACAACAATTCTTAAATTCAGATTTGTTAATTTTACTAAAATGTCCGAAGACTACTTAAATTTTTAATAAACTATGTATGTTTCATAATTTTTTTGTTTCCTAATTTCAAATACAAAGCTCTTCAATGAAAATTAGTCTCTCAACTAAATTTAATCAACTATTCAACTTACAAAGTGATAAGAACTATAGCAACTGGATTTCACTAAATTTAAAACAGGATTAAAGAGAGATCAGAAATGTAATAAAACATCTCTATACAAAGAACCCCTCCAACTATGAAAAGTAGTTTCAAGAGAATAATCCTATTTCATAAAATGCTTGATATCCAAGAAAAAGTGTTATCTTTGGTTCTTTGTAAAAACTGAATGGACATATATAGTTACTTTGATTAATTCCTGGTTATCAGTGATAAATAAGTAGCATTAGAAAATAAGCCTTATTTCTATTTACTTTTATAATCTAGCAAGTTTAGTTATAAAAGTTGGCATGAAATGTCTTAAAAAAAAAAAGAAAAGAAAGAAAGAAAGGTAGGTTTCAACCCAGGTCACCTTCTTTGTTATTTTCACCCTCAGAAAAATGTCCCCAGAGGTCACAGGGGTATATACCTTACTTATAGGTCAATACCGCTTACCAAACTCTCCACATGTTTTCCTTTAGCCCCTCAAACAGGCAGAGAGATATTAGTCTTCTCTGAGCTGAGAGTGACTGTGAAGAGTCCACAGCTGTTTGGCCATTCTTCTGAGTAGTTATTATTTAGAATACAACAGAATGTCAAAGCTGGAAGGAACCTCAAGTCATTAGTTCAGAGATGGTAAATTGGTTTTGAGTCCTACAGACTGGTAGCGGTTGCCTGAAGTACTGTGTTGAAAAGTAGTATGTGGCTCCACCTGGCTTTGTTGGGTAAGTGTGCAAGTAGATCACATATGCCACACATCTCAAGCCAACCTTGTCAAATATCTAAATATTTCATAAAGCTAGTTAGCTTTAAAGTGGAGTCACCTAATTCTCACTTTATTACCTAAAGAAGTCTAAAATCTGACTCTATCCTTCTAGAGTAAGGAAACTTAGAACATACATGCCCTGAAAAACCCATTTTCAGAAGTACTTTTTAATTTTTTAAAAAGATTTTATTTATTTATTCATGAGAGACACAGAGAGGCAGGCAGAGACATAGGCAGGAGAAGCAGGCTCCTTGCAGGGAGAGTCCCGATGCAGAACTCAATCCCGGAACCTGAGACTGTGACCTGACCAAAGGCTGACGCTTGACCACTGAGCCACCCAGGCATCCCCAGAAATACTTTTAAGTACAATGCTTCCAAAGACAACATGCTGGATTCAGCATGCTGTCTTGACTAACAGACTATATACAGCCTCAAGCAATGCAAGATATGCTTCAGTCCTTAAAGGATCTGCAGCTAAAATTGACAAACTTTTTGTTTCCACTCCACATACCACCAACTATAGAGCTAGCTCATAAAATGCTCGTGCCACACTAGTTTATGTGCCCCATGCCCTCTCCCCAACTCTTCAACAATCTATCATGGATAAAAAAGGATTATTTGGGATAAATAAAGAATAAGAATAAAATCTCCTTTAAAATCAACAATTATGACAAATTTGGGCATTTAAAATAAATACTAACCCCCATCACAAGACTAAGTTTTGTAAAATAATATTTATAACTAAAAACAAACAATAACAACAAAACAGAGACTATATCAGACCTCTTACAGACAAAAAGGACATTCCATTTGCTTTATAAAATCCAGAGACAAGTTCCTTCTTTAAAGATTTCCAGAGAAAATGGTTCATAAATATTTACTGACACCATCTAGTTCTTTTTTTTTTTTTTTTTGACACCATCTAGTTTTAACCTCAGGATACCAGTCAGCCAAAGCAGTGATCATGACAATCAAATACAATCTTAGATCCCTAAAATTGAATCTGAGAAAAAGAAAATGAGCTGATTCCTGTCTCCATTTTCCAAAACACAGTGAGAGAAAAAAACTAAGGTTAGCAAACATCATTAGAGACAAAACTTTTAAATCTTTTAACTTTTAAATCTTTGAATATTAAAATGATCCCCTTTTCCAAGGAGGTCTTTTATATTATTAACATACAGTCCCAAATGGAAATTGTACTTTGAGATCATTTGCTATAAAAACAATAATTAAAAATTGATAGTTTGTTGGAGGATAGGCTGAGTCTAAACTGCAGCTTAGTATGAAGAAATATACCAAGGAATTCTTTTTTTTTTTTTAATTTTTATTTTTTTCAAGGAATTCCTAAGAGTAAAAATATCCAATAGCTGAAAAGAGATGCATTTAACTTCGGAGTTTCCTTACCATCACCCTGCATGTCTGAAGTCCATAGTGTCAGATTATCACGTAACAACTGCATGATAAGTGTAGAGTCCTTATAGCTTTCTTCACTCAGCGTATCCAGTTCTGCAATTGCATCATCAAAAGCTGCTTTTGCCAACCTAAAAGTATTTAATAAATATATTATAGTAATAAGCCTCAAAAGAGAAATGACGTGTTAGAAAAAAAAAAGAAATGACGTGTTAGAAATCAATCTTTTTCTTCAGCTATCCCACAGTATATAATACTATCCTGGGTTTAAATACTGAAATAAAGGAAAAATAGATGTAACTGATGAAAAATAATTTTCTATTTAATTTTATAATCTAGCAAATTTGGAGGCATAAAATTGTTAGGAGCATTACTACATTATTTTTTCTTTTTTTTTTAATTTTTTAATTTATTTATGATAGTCACAGAGAGAGAGAGGCAGAGACAAAGGCAGAGGGAGAAGCAGGCTCCAGCACCGGGAGCCTGATGTGGGATTCGATCCCGGGTCTCCAGGATCGCGCCCTGGGCCAAAGGCAGGCACCAAACCGCTGTGCCACCCAGGGATCCCTACATTATTTTTTCAAAAACTCCCCATGTGGGGCTCAAACTCATGACCTCGACCTCGAGGTCAAGAGTCACATGCTCTACCTATTGAGCTAGCCAGGCACCCCAGAACACCACTTCTTACTAGGCTTTTGACAAGCCTATCAATAAACAGAATATAGACTAAATAAATTCTATCCTGAACCAACCAAAATATAGGCATAATAAAAGTATTACCACCAGTTCTAGTCAACAGCTCACGTTTTTAAAAAACTTTATTTATTCATGAGAGACACATACATAGAGAGAAGAGAGAGAGAGAGCCAGAGACATAGGCAGAGGGAGAAGCAGGCATCTTGTGGGGAGCCTATGTGGGACTTGATCCCAGGACCCCGGGATCATGACTTGAGCCGAAGGCAGATATCTGGCTCAACCACTAAGCCACCCAGGCATTAACAGCTCACTTATTTAATAAAATTTTAATGCAAAAAGATGAAATGTTAGTTCAGTTTATTTCCGAAGAATTTAATGTTAACAGAAGCCAAAAATGGGGGAAGGGGCAACATAGAACCCACAAAAATGTATGTAAGCCATTCGTTAGAATTTAAAAGAAACAACATTTACTGGGTATACTGTATGATGTATACCAAGTGATGTGGAACACTGGTGGAGAAACAGAAGAGAGGGAAAAAACAATCTCAGTCCACAAGTGAACATCTAGAAAATAGAGAACTGACATACAGAACCATTATAAAACAAGTATGAAGTGCTTCTCTGGAGAAAGTACTTCAGAAACCCTAGAGGACAAGCAAAAGGAAAAATCAAATATAAACTCATCTTAAAGGGTAGGGAAAAGAATGAATGCACACTTAAGATTAAAGCAAATGCATAAAAATAAAGGCATGGAGAAGACTTAACTCCAAGTGATATGTGGGACAAGCAGACCGGAGAATGACAATGAAAGACCCAATCAATACTATTAGCTGAACATATAGCTATAACTTCTTCAGTTGAGACCTGTACCTGTTTAAACTCGACGAGGCATTTAGAATGTTTTTATTTTTAAGTATTTATTTTTAAAGATTTTATTAATTCATGAGAAACAGAGAGAGGCATAGACACAGGCAGAGGGAGAAGCAGGCTTCCCATGGGAGCCCAATGTGGGACTCCACCCCGGGACCCTGGGATCACAACCTGAGCCAAAGGCAGACGCTCAACCACTGAGCCACCCAGGTGCCCCTAGAATGTTTTTAGATGAATAAATAATGGTTTGCATTCAAATGAATCCACCTCACAAAAGGACAATCTCTCCCTTTCATCGAGTATCTGATCCCTACATACTGAAGACTGTAAACTATAAACAACAAATACATTATACCAATTATATTAAGTACCTAAAATAGGCAAATTCACAAAGAGAAAAGGTAGAGATAACTGGGGTCAAGGGTGGGCGAATCTGGACAATGACCCGGTACCAGTTATTGTTTGTTTCAGGTGATTAAAAAGTTTTGGAAATAACTTAGTGGTGACAGTTACACAATATTGTGGGTGTATTTAATGCCATTCAATTATACAACTTAAAAATGGTTAGAATGAGGGGCGCCTGAGTGGCTCAGTCATTAAGAATCTGATTCTTGATTTCAACTCAGGTTATGATCTCAGTGTCATGGGACCAAGTCCTGCATCAGCTCTGAGCCCAGCAGGGAGTCTGCTGGAGATTCTCTTTGCACCCCACCCCCACTCACTATCTCCAAAATAAATAAATCTTTTGGGTGGCTGTGTGGCTCAGTCCATTGACCATCTGCTGTTGGCTGAGGTCATGATCTTAGGGTCCTGGGATCGAGCCCTGCAGGGAGTCTCCCTCTCTCTCTCTGCTCATGCTCTCCCTCCCTCTCAAATAAAAACCTTAAAATTAAAATAATAATAATAATAAATCTTTAAAAGAATGGTTAGAATGATAAACTGTTATATTTTGCAATAACTTTTACAAGAAAAAGCCGTGTACATAGAGCTAGCCCTTAAATTTCTATCTGTATCAAATATTGGGAACAATCTAAAATACATATAAATGAGGGAATTATTAACATAAAGATGGAAAACTATTCATATTAGAATAGAAAATACAAAATATGTACACTAAGAGCCTAACTATGTTAACATACCTACAAAAGACTAAAAGCTCATATTTAAAAAAAAGAAAAGAATTCTATTCTAATCCCATCCTCTGGGACACCTAGGTGGCTCAGCGGTTGAATGCCTGCCTTCGGCCCAGGGTGTGATCCTGGGGTCCTGGGATGGAGTCCCACCTCAAGCTCCCTGCATGGAGCCCTGCTTCTCTCTGTGTGTCTCTCATTAACAAATAAAATCTTAAATAATAAATAATAAATAATAATAATAATAATTCCACCCTCCCACTAACAAGTTAAAATTTCAACCTACCAACCAAAATTGTCCCCATCAACATAATCTAAAACTGCTATCCTAGTGAACAGAGATAGAGTCGGTCTTAAAATAATCCAGAGAAGTTTCATTAAAAGCCAAAAGAATTCTTACATGTCCAAGGCCACAAAGGCAATCCCAGGAAATAAGACAAATAATTCTCTTTTGTAATGTTTTTCACTTTCCCAGTGAGAACTTTTGTTTCTCTTCCATGACTTACCTGCAGGCACGGTCGGGGGAATTAAGAATTTCATAGTAGAATACAGAAAAGTTGAGAGCAAGACCTAAGCGAATTGGATGCGTTGGTGGAAGTTCTGTCATTGCAATATCACTAGCAGCTTTATAAGCCACTAGGCTGTTCTCTGCAGCCTCCTTCCTGTCATTTCCTGTGGCAAATTCAGCCAGATACCTGTGGTAGTCCCCTTTCCTAAAACAAAACAAAATAAAACAAATAGAATTAGGAAAAATGCTTTTTAAATGAAAGTAAACTGTTAAAATTTTTCTATAATCTATAAAATGAAATGTAACAAAAATTATTTTAATAATCAGCATGTATACTTCAATAACTTCACTCTATCAGGAAAGACTATTCAGTTTTCCTTCTCAGAGTTCAGAATACTAAATATAAGCAAAATCCTAGAGAAATTAATTGAAAAGCCTCTAAAAAAAAAAAAATCAATAAATTTATTGCCAACTAGAATTAAACAAAAAAAAGCGGTTCCAAAAAATGGCATGACAGTTAATTGTGAAATAAAACTTCTACATAAAACATTTAAACTGAACTATGTAATGTATTGCAACAGCTGATGGGTTAACTCCACACAAAAACAAATGCAAAGAGGTAAAACCTAGTACTCTAATAGTAAATAGTCTGAGCATCTTAAATGCAACAATAATTTCTCATTAGCAGTGAATATGCAAATGAGCACTCTAAGTTTTGAAAATCATTCCTCGCATGTAACTATCCTTTAAACATTAAACCATTATTCTTAAATAAAAGTTGAACACCTATACAAAAAAGTGATAATTAAAAAAAAAAGTGATAATTCTAAGGGGGCCAAAATTTAATCTGACATTTTCCCTTCTAGTATAGAACCTACATTTTATAATAGAAAACCTTGGACTCGCCAGTGTTAGCTGCTGGAATGAGGTGTTTGTCCAGTACATCCAGAATGTCACAACAGATTAACTTTAGCTCAGTCTCAACCTGAAAAAAAAAAGTAAAAAATTGTTTACTTAATTGTAACATGAATTATGACATATTTGCCCACTGGTTTTGAGGAAGAGAGCCAGAGTAAACAGAATACACGTCTCTATCTAAATCTTCTTTAAAATTTTTAAATAAATAAATAAATAAATAAATAAATAAATAAATAAATAATAAGATGCTGAATCTTCCCTGCTCTTGATTTAAAAAAAAGCAGAGAAAAGCTGTCTCCAGGTTATAGACATTATCTTCCTTCTACATGCTAAAAGACAAAAACCAAAACCAACCCCCCTACACACACACACACACACACACACACACACACACACACACACACACACACGGGCAACCTGGTTGGCTCAGCTGGTGGAGCACGTGACTCTCAACCTCATAGTTATTCAAACCTCACGTGAGGTATAAAGATTACTTAAAAATAAAATCGTTTTCTTTTTAAAGAAGATTTTATTTATTTATTCATGAGAGACAGAGAGAGAGAGAGAGAGAAGCAGAGACACAGGCAGAGGGAGAAGCAGGCTCCATGCAGGGAGCCCGACGTGGGACTGGATCCCGGGTCTCCAGGATCACACCCTGGGCTGAAAGCGCTAAACCACTGAGCTACCCGGGCTGCCCTTAAAAATAAAATCTAAACAAACAAACAAACAAACACACCAACCCAACAACCTCATGGTTTAGCTACAGAACTGAGTATAATACTGATTGCTATTTACAAGTGCTGCATACTTAATTAGCATATTTAACTAGGTAGAAACTATGTCTCTATTTACATGGGGAAACAACAATTATAGTATTTAGCCAAAAGGAGGAGAGCTAGGATTTGAACCAGTGTAGGCTATAAAGCCTAAGGTCACAGCTTCTAAGGGATGGAATAAAAATAAAAAACCTAGGGCAGCCCAGGTGGCTCAGCGGTTTAGCGCTGCCTTCAGCCCAGGGTGTGATCCTGGAGACCCGGGATCGAGTCCCGCGCCCGGCTGCCTGCAAGAAGCCTGCTTCTCCCTCTGCCTAGGTCTCTGCCTCTCTCTGTGTCTCTCACACAAATCAAAAAATAGGGGATCCCTGGGTGGCACAGCAGTTTGGCGCCTGCCTTTGGCCCAGGGCGCGATCCTGGAGACCCTGGATCGAATCCCACATCGGGCTCCCAGTGCGTGGAGCCTGCTTCTCCCTCTGCCTGTGTCTCTGCCTCTCTCTCTCTCTCTGTGTGTGTGTGTGTGTGTGTGTGTGTGACTATCATAAATAAATAAAAATTAAAAAAAAAACAAATCAATAAATAAAATCTTAAAAAAAAAAAAACAAAACAAAACAGGGCAGCCCCCATGGCGCAGCGTAGCACCGCCTGCAGCCTAGGGTGTGATCCTGGAGAACCAGGATCAAGTCCCGCGTCAGGATCCCTGCATGGAGCCTGCTTCTCCCTCTGCCTGGGTCTCTGCCTCTCTTTCTCGATGTCCCTCGTGAATAAATAAATAAAATCTTAAAAAAAAAAAAAAAATCAAACCTAGGCACAGCCTGCCTCCAGTGCTCACATTCCTAACCACTACTATGCTCAACAGCCAATCACTTGAGTGGCTCAGATCCACAGTCCATCATGACACCAAAAATGCTTATACTCAAGTAAATATTGCCACTCATCTCAATTTATCATACTAAAAATGCATGCCATCACAAACACACATAATTATTTGGGCCCTTTCCACTGTAAAGAATTCCCCCACTCTCTCTTCTCCTGTAATCTCATCCTGATTCTATGTTAAACTAGCTCCTTCCTGAAAAACTTACCTCCTTTGTGGCTTTTTAAGTGGCGATTACTGTACAGACAATTTCTGGATTCGCTCAGTTCCCCACTAACTCAGTATTACCCCAAACTATTCCTATTTGGAAGCTCATCTTCAACTTAATTTCTTTTTCTTTTTTAAAAGATTTTATTCACTCATTCATGAGAGATAGAGTGAGAGAGGCAGAGACACAGGAAGAGGGAGAAGCAGGCTCTGTGCAGGGGGCCAGACATGGGACCTGATCCTGGGTCCCCAGGATCACACCCCGGGCCAATGGAGGTGCTAAACCGCTGAGCCACCGGGGCTGCCCTTCAATTTAATTTCTAAGAATCTGTTCTCAGTCAGTGGATCTCTATAGGCCTTTCACTTACATTCAGTCTACCTCTTCAATTCCTGGCATCACATCCATGTTCCTTTCAACACAGTTGTTCTTTGATCTTTTCTCTATGACCTTATTTGTCAACATCCCTAATTGTACTGCTTTAACCCAAGAAGTTGTAAATTCTAGTATTTCACTACCGGAATGTAACTTCCTTTTTTTTTATTTCCTTTATTCCTGGTTAATCCTACTTAGGGACACATCAAGACACCCAGCCTCTTGAATCTTTCATCTTCCCCCAATTTATCAGTCCCACTCTTTGCTTCCTTTCTTACTTACTCCAAATCCCACAATTTAGCACAGCCTTTTCTCTCTTCAGCACTTCTAATTTTCTCATTTCATCATCCTGCTGAGACACCAAACTTTTCTACTGACAATCCATATTCTTATTCCAACATATTTGAGGTTAATGTACACACTGATAGCATATAACTTCTTTGTGGCTCTAGGTATGTTACTTAATCACTCAGAACCTCAGTTTCCTCGTCTATAAAGCAGAACAATAACCTATTCTTTACAGGGTCATTATATGTACTAATAAATATCTCCCCACTCAGAACAGTGTCCAACAAAAGTAGAGATAATTAATAAATGTACGTTCTGTTTTCCCATTGCCCACGCTACTTTGTGAGTGGTTCCAGTAATTTTCCTTGCTGTATTCTAAATGGGTTTATATACCTGTCTCTTCCACCATGATCAGTTTCTCAGCACTACTCCTATAGGCATTTTGGGCCAGGTAATTCTTTGTTGTGTGGTGCTGTCCCATGCACGACAGAATATATAACAAGCAGCATCCCTGTCTGTACCAACTGGATACCAGTAGCACCCTTCAAGTCGTTGACAGCCAAAAATGTCTTCAAAAGATCTGCCAAATGTTTTGAGGGGCAAAATCACCCCCTAGTTGAAAACCATGAACTAGGGACACATGGATGGCTCAGCGGTCGAGTGTCTGTCTTTGGCTCAGGGCCTGATCCTGGATTCCTGTGATGGAGTCCCACATTGGGCTCCTTGCATGGAGCTTGTTTCTCCTCCTTCTACCTGTGTCTCTTCCTCTCTTTCTAGGGAAGGGGAAGGGGAAGGAAAGGAAATAAAACTATGAACTAGGGACACTGGGTGGCTCAGTGGTTGAGTGCCTGTCTTCAGCCCAGGGCATGATCCCAGGGTCCTGGGATTGAGTCTCGCACCAGGCTCCCTGTGGGGAGCCTGCTTCTCCCTCTGCCTCTCTGTGTCTCTCACGAATAGATAAAAGTCCCGAGATCCAGTCCCACGTGGGGCTGCCAGGATGGAGCCTGTTTCTCCCTCTGTGTCTCTGCCTCTCTCTGCCTCTCTCATGAATGAATGAATCTTTTTTAAAAAAAGAACACCGTGAACTATAGATCGATGGTTATTGTACTTTTCCACCAAAATTCACAGTAAGAAAAATTACATATATTTACATATACAAATGTAACATCTGAAACAGTAACTTCATGAGATGTCCAATGCCCTCTAACATTTTATATTAAAAAACAAGGACCGGGTGCCTGGGTGGTTCAGTGTCTGCCTTTGGCTCAGGTCATAATCCCAGGGTCCTGGGGATCAAGTCCCGCATCGGGCTCCCCACAAGGAGCCTGCTTCGCCCTCTGCCTATGTCTCTGCCTCTGTGTCTCTCATGAATAAATAAATCTAAAAAAATATTTATAAGTAAATAATTTTTTTAAAAAACAGACTGAGCCTCCATTAAGGAGGCTATATAATATGTATCTGTCTCATCTTTATACCCATAGCACCCAGAAAATTCTGTGATTCATAACAAGTACAAATATACTCGCTCAATTCTCCTGAATGGTAATTCCCAGTCACTCACTGTAGCATTCTGCAGCTAACTACAACAAAAACAAACTGATTCTCTACCTGTGTGGTGCTTAAAATTGAACACCCTCTGCAGCTTCTGGAGAAAAATAGTTTACCTCTTTCCTGAAATATTGTATAGCCCATAATCTCTTAATTCCAGGTAAGTAAAAAATGCAAATCAACTAAATAGAATATGTATTTTATGCATATTTAACTCATGAGTACTAGGCTGTCATCTAAAATATCCAAAACCTAGGACATCTTGCTGGCTTAATTAGAAAAAGCATGAGACTCCTGATCCTGGGGTCATGAATTCAAGTTCCACATCAGGGTAAAGATTACTTAAATAAATAAAACTTTAAAATAAAACAGCCAAAACCTGAGGCAACTTTCTTTAAAGATGTCTAGGATATGATAATCTCACCATTTGCCGATATTCCCGGATCATTTTTAGTTTGTCTTCTCCTCCCTTGTTTTCTTCTTTCTGTTCAATGCTGCTGATTATTCTCCAGGAAGCTCTTCTGGCTCCAATCACATTTTTATATGCAACAGATAGGAGGTTTCTTTCTTCAACTGTCAACTCCACATCCATCCCTGCTACTTTCTTCATTGATTCCACCATTTCTATAAAGGAAAAGAGAAGTAAAATCAGACCATACAAAGTAAGTTTTGATATACAATACCTCTTTACAATAGAACTCTTTTTTTCTGTCAAACTAGTGTAAAAAGTAAGAATCTTAATAAAAATACAATCATCAAAACTAACGAGTAGGGGTACCTGGGTGGTTCAGTTGGTTGAACCTCTGCCTTAGTCTCGGGTCATGATCCCAGGGGTCCTGGGATTGAGCCCTGCACTGGGCTCCCAACTCAGTGGGGAAGAGTATGCTTGTCCCTCTCCCTATACCCCTCTCTCCCTCTCAAATAAATCTTTTTTTAAAAGGAGTAAAAAAACTGGGATGCCTGGTGGCTCAGCAGTGAGTGTCTGCCTTCAGCTCAGGGCGTGGTCCCAGGGTCCCGGGATAGAGTCCCGGATCGGGCTCCCGGCATGGAAGCCTGCTTTTCCCTCTGCCTGTGTCTCTGCCTCTTTCTGTGTCTCTCATGAATAAATAATATTTTTAAAAAAGGAGTAAAAAACTAAAAACATATAAAAGAAAGTAAACTAAAAGCCTAGAATAAGAGAATCTGCAATATAAGTTCTATGTAAACAAAAGTTCATATAGGAAAAAAAAAGTTCATATAGTACCTAGTGTAATTCACAGCAAGGTCTGGAAACATCTATCTCATTAAATAAGGGAACTAAGAAGGCACACCTGCCCATTTCCCAGTAAAAATAATTAAGCTGACAGTTTAGACAAAAACTAAAGAGTTATAGGCTCTAGAAGCACCTGGGTGGCAGTCAGTTGAGTATCCGACTCTTGGTTTTGGCTCAGGTCATGATCTCAGGGTGGTAAGACCAAGCCCGGTGCTCAGCACAGATTCGGCTTCTGTTTCTCTTTCCCTCTGCCTCTGCCCCTCCCCACCCTCCTCGCTGCTCTCTCTTTGAAATAAATATTTTTTAAAAAGTTATAGGCTGGGATCCCTGGGTGGCGCAGCGGTTTGGCGCCTGCCTTTGGCCCAGGGCACGATCCTGGAGACCCGGGATCGAATCCCACGTCGGGCTCCCGGTGCATGGAGCCTGCTTCTCCCTCTGCCTGTGTCTCTGCCTCTCTCTCTCTCTCTCTCTCTCTCTCTCTCTCTCTCTCTCTCTCTCGGTGACTATCAAAAAATAAAAAAATAAATAAATAAAAAGTTATAGGCTCTAAAATAGATTTTCTTACAAATAAATTATTTCCCAATTAAATCCAAATAAATTGTATTTTCAAAAATAAGGAAGTTGGAGGAAAGAGCATTCATATAGCAAACATACACATTTGAGCATTTGGTTAATCACACATACAAACCAAACTTATCTTTGGATGTTTCCATCCTTCTTAAGAAGGGACACTGTTCACCTCCTATGAATTTCAATTCATCAGCAAAACTCGTGATGGTTCCTATTTGTTACCACTAGGTGGCGACCAAAGAAAGGGGCCCAGATAAATCTTAGGAGATACCCAAGTAAAGGAAAAAACAGGTAACAAACACAATCCACATGAGGCGTCCCTGGGTGGCTCAGTTGGTTAAGTATCTGACTCTAGATCTACACTTAAGTCTTGATCTCAGGGCCAGGAGTTCAAGCCCCACACTGGATGTGGTGGCTACTTAAAACAAAGGGCACCTGGGTGGCTCAGTTAAACATCTGGCTCAGGTCATGATCTCAGGGTTGTGAGATCAAGCGCTCTCCCTCCCTACTGTGCGCATGCTCTCTCTCAAATCTTTAAAAAATTTTTCAGATAAAACAATGGAATGCAAATGAAAAATGAAAAAAAGCTCAATGAACAGTAACCTAATAAATACATTAATGAAAATTATGCTTTTAGAAAAGACTAAACGCCATATTATCATATGGCTCTTCAACTTTACTGATTGAGAATCTTTAAGACCCAAGGATCTACATTTTATTTTTTTAAATATTTTATTCATTCATTCATTCATTCATTCATTCATTCATGAGAGAGAGAGAGGCAGGCAGAGACACAGGCAGAGGGAGAAGCAGGCTCCATGCAGGGAGCCGGACCTGGGACTGGATCCCGGGTCTCCAGGATCACGCCCTGGGCTGAAGGCAGCGCTAAACCGCTGAGCCACCCAGGCTGCCCAGGATCTACATTTTAACAAGCACCCTAAGCATACATTAACATTCTAAACATGAGCAATACCTTAAGACATGATGCAGATGGTAACTTTATGAAACACTGCATAATAAATTGTTTAATCCCAGGGAAATATGTTCAAAAACATCCTTTCAGGAATATCAGGAAATTAATAGAAACATTAAGATGGTAAGGTCTCTGGAAAACAGTTTGGTCGTTTTGGTGTTTTTTTTTCTTTAAGATTTTATTTATTTACTCATGAGAGAGGCAGAGACAGGGGCAGAGGGAGAAACAGGCTCCTCACAGGGAGCCCAATGTGGGACTCTATCCCCAGAGCCACGCCCTGAGCCGAAAGCAGACAATCACTGAGCCTCCAAAGCGTCCCCAGTTTAGTAGTTCTTATACAATTGGAACACCCTAAGACTCAGCAATTCTAGTACTAGGTATTACCCAAGAGAAACGAAAATTTATCTCCACAAAGACGTTTTACACAAATGTTCACAGCAACTTTATTCAAAATAGCTAAGGTTAAAACAATCCAAAAAGTCCATGTAATCAGTGGAATACTATTCAAGAACAAAAAATAAACCATGGGTACAAGTAACAACATGGATGAGTTACAAAATCATGCTAATTGAAAAAAGCCAGACCAGAAAAGGCTGTATAATTCACTTTAAGTTATATAAAATGCAAAATTAGGAATGCAGGGGGGGGGGTGGCCTCAGTGGTTGAGCGCCTGCCTTTGGCTCAGGTTGTGATCCTGGGGTCCTGGGATCAAGTACTGCATCAGGCTCCCCCCATAGGAAGCCTGCTTCTCCCTCTGCCTATGTCTCTGCCTCTCTATGGCTCTCATGGATAAATAAAATAACTTTTTAAGAATGCAAAATTATAAAGACAGCAAATAAGTGGTATGGGGGTGAAATGAGGGAGGCTTGTGTGCAAAGGAAATTTGGAGAGTAAAAGAATGCTCTGCTGTGGTGGTTATACATCTGAATAGATTTATCAAACACTGAACTGTATGGCTTAATCCTTGAATAACACAGGAGAAAAAAAAAAAAAAAACACAGGAGAGCAGACTCACCAAGCAGTCACAGTCTGAAATCCAAGTATACCTTATGACTCCCCAAAAACTTTACTGATAATCTGTTGACCAGAAGCCTTGCTGATAATTAGCACATATTTGTGCATGTTATATGTATTATATACTGTATTCTACAATAAAGCAAGCTAGAGAAAAGAAAATGCTATAAAGAAAATCAAGAGAAAAAGCATTCACAGTACTATACTGGATTTACGGGGGGGGGGGGAAGGGGACACACACACGTAAGTGTACACCCACACAGTTCAAACCTATGTGTTCAAGAGTCAACTGCACATGGAAAGATGATCTATTTTATTGCATACAAATACTTTAATAAGATGTATTTTTAAATGTAATTCTGAAACATTAAAGAATGATTAGGAAGTACAGCAACAAGACCATTAATTCATTTGTGGAAGCCTGAAAGCATTCCCCCCCCCCCTTTAAACTAGTCATGAAAAAAAAAGCTAAATTCAGAGGCAGCAGAGTCAGAGGGTAAATTCAAGATCACTTCCATACTAGTTTATTTTCAAAAACTAACAAACTGGGACGCCTGAGTGGCTCAGCGGTTGAGCATCTGCCTTTGGCTCCGGTAGTGATCCCAGGGTCCTGGGACTGAGTCCCACATCAGGCTCCCTGCAGGGAGCCTGCTTCTCCCTCTACCTGTGTCTCTGCCTCTGTGTGTCTCTCATGAATAAGTAAATAAAATCTCTTTAAAAAAAGAAAAAAATATATATATTTTTTTAAATTTTTATTTATTTATGATAGTGACAGAGAGAGAGAGAGGCAGAGACATAGGCAGAGGGAGAAGCAGGCTCCATGCACCGGGAACCCGATATGGGATTCGATCCCGGGTCTCCAGGATCGCGCCCTGAGCCAAAGGCAGGCGCCAAACCGCTGCGCCACCCAGGGATCCCAAGAAAAATATATTTTTAAAAAAACTAACAAATTAAAATGCCCCAGAAGAGAACCAGTAATTAGCTTTTCTAAATTGGCCCCAACAAAGCAATTTAAAAAATAACTTCGCTACACCAAAAAAGACTATGAATTATCTTAAACTGTAGGACTTTGTAACATTATATAGGGAAAAACTATACACAAGTACCTATACCACCAAAAATTTAACAATTATATGTCTCTGGGTACTATTTCAGATAATTTACATTTCCTTTTCTATGCTCTACAATTTTTCAGCATCTTTTTAAAATTATTTATTTATTTATTTATTTATTTATTTATTTATTTATTTATTTATTTATTTATTTATTTATTTTATGGTAGTCATCAGAGAGAGAGAGAGAGAGAGAGGCAGAGACATAGGCAGAGGGAGAAGCAGGCTCCATGCAGGGAGCCCGACGTGGGATTCGATCCTGGATCTCCAGGATCGCGCTCTGGGCCAAAGGCAGGCGCTAAACCACTGCGCCACCCAGGGATCCCAATTTTTCAGCATCTTAATAAAGGTCTTATTTATTGAGAGTACACATGCACACACAAGTAAGCACAAGCAAGGGAAGCAGCAGGCAGAGGGAGAGGGAGAAGCAGGCTCAATCCCAGGATCCTGGGATCATGACCTGAGCCAAAGGCAGACTCTTAACCGACTTGAGCTACTCAGACATCCCAAAATTTTTTTTCCAACATTTCAACACTATTTTTACAATAATAAAGGGTGGAAATTAAAGCACTCAATGAGGGGCACCTGGGTGGCTCAGTGAGTTAATCATCTGCCTTCAGCTCAGGTCATGATCCCAGGGTTCTGGGAACAGGCCCCATGTTGCGACCTCCTCAGCGGGAAGTCAGCCTCTCCCTCTTCATCT